AGGAAAAGTCCACGAGGCTTCGTGGCTTCGCGCTTCGCCTTACTACAAGAGGGGAACGCGCACGAGGCGAGCCACGCGATTCCCCCATCTCTCCGACAGCGAGCTTCGTCGTCGGCTGTGCGCGGCCGCGGCGGCGGCGCTGGTCGTGTGCTTCCCAAATTCTCTCATTCCCCAGCGAGCGATCACCATGGGGCTCCACAAGGAGGCGAGCTCGTCGTCGTCGCGGCTCGACGCGGCGCCGCTGCTGCCGCACCACGGCCACGGCGGCGGCGGCGCGGGGCACCACCTGTCGTCGCAGCCCAAGACGTTCGCCAACGTGTTCATCGCGGTGGTCGGGTCGGGCGTGCTGGGGCTCCCCTACACCTTCTCCCGCACCGGCTGGGTGGCCGGGTCGGTCCTCCTCCTCGCCGTGGCCGCGCTCACCTTCCACTGCATGATGCTGCTCGTCGCCTGCCGCCGCCGCCTCGCCTACGACCACCCCAAGATCGCCTCCTTCGGGGATCTGGGCGCCGCCGTGTGCGGCCCCGCGGGGCGGCACGTCGTTGACGCCATGCTCGTGCTCAGCCAGGCCAGCTTCTGCGTCGGCTACCTCATCTTCATCTCCAACACCATGGCGCACCTTTACCCGGTTGGGGATTCGTCGCCCTCGTCGCCGCTCCTCACCGCCAAGGCGATCTTCATCTGGGTCATGCTGCCGTTCCAGCTGGGGCTTAACTCCATCAAGACGCTGACGCTCCTCGCGCCGCTCAGCATCTTCGCCGACGTCGTCGATCTCGGCGCCATGGGCGTCGTCCTCGGCCAGGACGTGTCCACCTGGCTCGCCAACAAGCCCCCCGTGTTCGCCTCCGCCGGACCCACGGAGATCCTCTACGGCCTCGGCGTCGCCGTCTATGCCTTCGAGGGCATCGGCATGGTCCTCCCGCTGGAGGCCGAGGCCGCCGACAAGCGCAAGTTCGGCGGCACGCTCGCGCTGTCCATGGCGTTCATCGCCGTCATGTACGGGCTGTTCGGCGCCATGGGTTACCTCGCGTTCGGCGCGGCCACGCGGGACATCATCACCACCAACCTCGGCACCGGGTGGCTGTCCGTCACCGTGCAGCTGGGTCTCTGCATCAACCTCTTCTTCACCATGCCGGTGATGATGAACCCGGTCTACGAGGTCGCCGAGCGGCTGCTCTGCCGCAAGCGCTACGCCTGGTGGCTGCGCTGGCTCCTCGTCATGGTCGTCGGGCTCATGGCCATGCTCGTGCCCAACTTCGCCGACTTCCTCTCCCTCGTCGGGAGCAGCGTCTGCGTCCTGCTCGGGTTCGTGCTGCCGGCGGCGTTCCACCTCAAGGTGTTCGGCGCTGAGGTCGGGTGGCCCGGGCTCGCCGGCGACGTCGCCGTCATCGTCGTCGGGACCGCGCTTGCGGTGTCCGGGACATGGACATCGCTCGCACAAATCTTCAGTTCTTCCGATGTGTAAGCGGTTGACAGTAATGCAGACAATGCGCAGGCAACGCAGCTAGTAGCTCATGTGTATACATTGAATTTAGCAGAAAAGAACATTCAGCTGGCATGCTGATTTTGGGCACGGTTCACGTGGTTCAAATTGAATACTACATAATACTCCTACTTCTATTTCCATTGCCTGACAATTGACATGCGTCAAGTTAGGGAACTCAGTAAAATCCATATGGTTTTGGTCAGATATAGATTAGCAGATCACGACCAGATATACGAGATGTTCTTTTGAAAAAAAAATCCTTTTTATATAGAAGTTTCTCTAAAAACTCAAATAAACATATTTTTCAAGTTTGTAGTAATTAATAATTAATTAATCATACGCTAATGGTTCATCTCGTTTTATATACCGTGAGTTCCCACGCAACACCTGGAATGAACTTAGCCTAAGTCTGGTTTGGTTGTATACTAATCTTAGGTTGTGTTCGGAAGGATTTGTTCCCAACACGCACAGTGCGTATGAAAAACGGAACGGTCCATTAGCGCGTGATTAATTGAGTATTAGCTTTTTTTTAAAAAAAAGATCAATATGATTTTTTAAGCAACTTTCGTATAAAACTTTTTGCAAAAAAAATGCACTGTTTAGCAGTTTGAAAAGCGTACGCGCGGAATAGGATAGAGAGGGGTTGGGAACCCACTGTTCCGAACAAAGCCTTAAAGCGTTTTCATGCGCTATGGTCATCTGCCCATCCTTGGAAATTTTCCTTATGTAAATTGCTCATCAAAAAATCTCTACTTGCACTCAACTTGATAAGTTGATAAGGAAGAAAGGTGCATGTTTCTTTGAGCTGTCAATGGTTGCTACATCTCTTTCTGGGGCACAAGTAATAATCTTCCTCTGGCAAAGATGAGTGCTAAATGCCAGTCCAATGGGATAGTTCCCTTGAAAAAGTGGCCAAGCATAGATGAATTGACTGCTGTTTCCATCATAGGACTTGGAGCACCCCATTTGGGCCATGCTATTGTAATTTGGAAAAAGTCCACTTTAGCCCATTATGTCTTTGATCTTGCAAAACCGTTTAAATAAGGTTCTTTGGCAGAATGGAAGGCTGGTTTTGCTGACGTGGCAAATTGACGCAGTCCACTCATGCTGACTAGACGCTTACATGGCAAAACAAATACAGCCCCACATGTCATCCTCTCCTCCTCCCCTCTCTCTCTTTCTCTCTCCCCCCTTTCTCTCCCTCTCATCTCGGCACCCTTGTGCTGCTCAACACCGTGTTCGAGGACATCGTCTGGCTTCACCGCATCTCCTTGTCACGCTCTGACGGTGATGACGACAACTTGTGTGGGCTCCTCAACATTACGCAAAACGAGCTTGTACAGTTGTATTGTTCCTCATCTGGGACCACGTCGCGCGCCTGCACACCAACGAGGGGGAGGCTAGCGGCGCCAGGGACGAGTCATTGTTACCCATTGGTTTACCGGCTTTTAAAGGTAGCATTAGTCTTGCCTGTTTGCCACTGCTACTATTGAAAGATGTTTTTCAACCATGAAAATTGTGAAGACATTTTTGCGCAATCGCATTAGTGATGAAACACTTGAGGGATTGTGTTGTTTGCTATGTTGAGAAACAAGAATTGATGAAAGTTACCAAAGTGCAATAATTTGCCGATTTGAGATCTTAAAGGCACGCAGACAACCATCTTGAAATGTATTTTTTTTCACATTCTCATTCTCAATACATATTTACATTATGTTTTTTACTAAGTGATCTCTTCTCTTTTCTAGACAAAACAATATGTGGTATTGGAGGTTTTTATCCTTTCTTGTTTTGTAATGGTGGATTAATATTTCAGTGAGCATTTCATTCCTATGCCTTTTTATAACTCTACGTGGTAGTTAATTATATACTCTATATGTCATATTGGTTATCAATATTGTGTGTTCTCTAGAGCTATGATATGCATAGGACCCCGAATCATTTTCGTTCTAGGTTTGCCACTAGACGGGAGGGTGGAGGAGGAGGACGGCTGGCGTTGTAGGCGGCACCGCATCTCTTGGGAGAGAGTTGATGGCAGCGGCCGACAGGAGAGGTGCGTGGTGACTGGCGAGGAGAAGCTCGAGGACCGGCGGACGCATCCTCGCCCACCTCAACTCCCACCAGCCGCTCACGCACTTCGCCTCTCTCGAGGAGAACCTTGTCTCCCACTCCGCATTGCTCGACAAGGCCTTAGCCGCCGCGACACCTACACCTCCGAGTCCCTCGTGGTGTTGGAGGCCCATGAGGCCGCTGTCCCCGCGTGCCTCGACAAGACTGAGGCCGTGTTGTCCACGGATCCCCCGCTCACTGATTTTCAGGGCACACTCCAAATTGATGTGTGGTTTCATGGACGCCGCCGCGCAGGCGCTTCATGGCGGCATGCCAACGGGAGCTCGTCGCCGTTTGGAAAGAGGTTGGTCCCTCATTGTCACCACGTCGGTCGACCCATCCCGCCTCATGCTTGATGTCTGTCTTGCGAGGTACCCAACGAATGGTTGATGGTGGCGTCGTGGTGGTCCAGAACAAGGAGGATGTGGGTGAGCTGTGGCCTATCGTTGCCGGGGGTTCGCTCTTGTTGGACATGGAGCAGCGGCGGTGCAACGGCCGACGAAACGGCGGTGGAGGAAGCCCGGGCCGTGGCCCGACGGGCCCATGGTCTCTACTTCCCCGCTGCCGCCACACCAAACTTCTCTTCCTTCCCCCTCCTAGCAAGTTGCTCGCTGACCTCCTCCGCCGCTGTCGTCGGGCACGCCGTAGACCAACCACCATCTCCTCGTCCTCCGATTGCCCGTGCGCCTCATTGTCACCACGTCCGCCTCCAGCTGCCGCCAGGACCGAAGGATGGGGAGGGAGATAAGGAAGAATATATTGTTTTCATTGACATGTGGGTCCCACGTGTTTTTTTTTGCCACACTAGCGCCACATTGGCCAAAACCACCCTCAATACTGCCTTGGGACAGAATGTAATCCGGTTTTGTAAGATTAGAGATATGTTATATATGGTATTCCGGTTTAGGGATGGTTTTAAAACTTGACGATAAGATGAGAAATCTCAAATGAGCTTTTTCCTTGTAATTTCATTGCTTAATGAAATATGCATTATCTAGAATTTTTGGCCTTTCCTATGGATCATGCATAGATGGATGTTTTACCGGTTCTCTTTTCCATCTTGTCAGCTCTTGGGTGAGTGGAGCTGGACGTGTTTGGGTCTATGTGCTCTAGGAATCAACGAAAAGGACCACACATTGACAGTTTCTTCATATTCCTTCTTGTCTTTGTCATGTTTGAACAACCTGAGTTGCAAAGTTAATCAGAAAGTTCAGAGCAGAACACTAACCAGAACTTCAGGATAGAGCGGAGAGCAGCACTACAGCGCACAACCATGAGAAATCAGTGATATCTATCGAACACGTACTTTTAGTGGTAAGTTGTTTTGTTATTTTGAATATTCTGTTAGATAAATCCGGCATATATATAACACAACGTAAATGCTATGAGAAATGAAAATGAGGAATTTTACAGTACTTTTTAAGGATGATAAAATTACTCAATGGAAATAGTTGGATATCTGATATCCCCAAGTTTACACCACCATATGTTTATTTGATTCAACCATAGAGTCACTTGATTTGTAGGACTGAAAACTATTTTACTAGACCCTGCTTAACTCAAATAGTCAACTATTTTACTAGACCCTGCTTAACTCAAATAGTCAAATTCAATACAAACTGCTACTACTGAAAAAGTTTAAAGCTGTATTTTTTTTTGACACGGGGTTATTCTTCGATCACCTTGTGATGTGAGCAATGAAGTCCTCCAGATCATTGCGCGATGAACGGACGGCATCACCGAGCGCCTTCGCGCGCTGCCGCACCGCCAATCCTTCATCGGAGGCCATCATCTTCTTGATCACCTCCTGTATAGTGGCCGCCGGCAAAACCTCGCCGTGCTTCTCCCATGGCCTCACTAGGAGACCTGCCTTGAAGTATTTGCACACCAGCTCCGCGTCCCACGGCTGGTCGGAGTGCATGGGCCACGCCAGAATCGGCTTCCCGTGGCTCATGCTCTCCATGGTCGAGTTCCAGCCGCAGTGGCTCATGAACGCCGCCGTGGCGCCGTGCGCCAGGATCTCCAGCTGCGGCGCCCACCCAGTGATCACCATCCCCGTGCCTTCGGTTTGCTTGGAGAACTCGGACAGAAGCTTGGCGTGCCGGGTCTCGCCCTCGCCGGTGTCCGTGAATATGTTGCCGCGGTCGGCGTCGCGCATGACCCAGATGAACCGCTGCTTGCTGCCGCGCAGTGTCGCTGCGAGCTCCGCGACCTGCTCAACTCGAAGAGAGCACGTCGTGCCGAACGACACGTAGAGCACAGAATCCGGGGGCTGCCTGTCGAGCCAGTCAAGGCACTCGTGTCGCCGCCTGCCCTGCTCCGACGAGCCCGTGTTGAGCAGTGGGTTCAACGGACCGATTGCGAAGAGCTTCTTGCCGCCGGCAGCCAGAGTCTCAGCCAAATCGTCGATGAAATCGCCCTCGAGTGCTCGGCTCGCGTTCGCGAGGATGCCGGCGCCGGACAAAATCGATTCCGACGCTCGGGCACGTTCGCTCGCGTAGTCCAGGAACTCCTGCGTCATGTAGGTTTCCAAGGGGGCATGATTGAGGCCGTTCTCACGCAGGAGCCGATGCCCGGTGTCTATGTGAAGGGCGAGGGCCGACACGGCTACGCAGCTCACCGGGAACGCCTCACCGTTGGGCAGCCGCGCCGCCTCCTCGACAGCGAAGGAATTGATGGTGTCGCACACGACGACGACCCGACGGTGGGAAGCGGATAGCTCGTCAAGGAGCGCCGAGAGCGGGGCGCGCGCGTCCGCGGTGTACGCCTCCCAGAGGGGCATGAGGTGGGAGGGGAAGGGCGTGTCGGCGGTGGGGTCGGGAGGCGGAGAGACGTACGTGGAGATGCCGAGGTCGTGGAACTGGACGGAGAGGAGGGCCTTGTCGTCCCAGCCGTGCACGCGCGCCCGCGCCTGGCGGAGCTGCGGCGCCGGCGCAGCGTAGTGGACCGCGAGCCCGTGCGACGACGACGCGAGCTGGAGCGACAGGTGCAGCACCTGGTTGAGGTGACCCTGCGCCGGGAACGGCACCGCCACGATGGCCACCTTGTTCGCCGGGTTCCCCTTCTCTGCCATTCTCCGTGCCTCTCAATGCCTGAATGACTGAGCTGAAGTCTGAATGAAGCCTGAAAGGTGTTAACTGTTTTAACGACTAACGAAACGTAATTGGCCGCTGCCCAGTGCCCACTAGCTACACTAGCTGCCCACTAGTACGTGTCCACGAAAAATCTATCGACTGAATTTGTGGCTGATTTCAGTCAAATTTTTTACACCGTCCGATCGGCATGCATAGTGCTAGGCATCTCATAGCGTATTGGATCTACTTTAATATTTGTGCATGGGCCTTCCGTTCAGCTAAAGCAATGAGTGGGCTATAGTTAGTTTGGCCCAAAGTTTTTCATTTAGCAAAGGACTAAGTTCAATTTAGGTCCCTTAGCTTGACATGGAATCTGATTTTCATCCTAAACTGCAATACCGGATACAACAGTCCCTCAACTATCAAAACTCAAAACTAGTGCAAATAAGGTCCTAAGCCAGTTCGGATGGCGGTTTCGGCTGATGTGGCATCTACGTGGCTGATTTGACTTGGTCTTCGTCCTATGTGACGGTGATAGCAAAATATCAAAATTAAAATTAAATCAAAAGGTGGGACCCACATGTCATCGAGTGTTTAGTTAAAAATACAGTGGGACCCATGGCCACCCATCTTTTCTCCATTCTTTTTCTCTCCCCCTTTCCTCGTTGTCATCACTGTAGAGACAACATCGTGGACGCCGCTGCGAGCGAGGAGACGGCGTCGACGACGAGGAGTAAGCTCGCGATACCGGAAACGCGGTCGCTGGCAGAGCTCTGGGGCGGAGCAGAGGGGCGGGCGGGTATCGTGGCGAAGCAAAGCGGCCGTGGGCCACGGGCGGAGCAGTCAGGCGGTGGGGGTGGTCCCCCTGGTCGATGGTGGCGGCGGTTGGGTCTAGCAATGACGAGGGACAACGAAAAGGCACCCAACATCCCAGGCAGAGTGCGGCGCGACGAAGGGGACGAGGCCGGCATGAGCAGATTGGCTTGAGCGGCGGTGGTGGCGGGTCCCCCTGGAGCAACATCGACCCACCACCGCGGGAGATGCGGTGACCGAGATCCGGAGAGGACGGCGCAGTGGTGGAGAAGCAATGGAGTTGGGGGTGCCGAAGCCGTGGAGGACGATGCCAGCGATGACTCGGATGGAGCAGGGGTGGAAGGCGGGACGCGGTGCCAGGGACGTCGTCTTCCATGTCGTGCCTGCCGACGCGGCCACCGTGGCAATGACGATGGACGAGGGCGTGGGGTGTCCACCCGACGTGGATCCATGGCTCTCAAGGCCATCTCTCGCTGCTCCCTTCCCTCCGCGGCGGCGTAGCCCTAGATAGCGTTGTCGAGTTCACCATCGACTAGTGCGCTTGCTACCCCAGGTCCACCGAAGGCCTCTCCTCCGCCGCTCACCACCTCAGCCGTGTGCCACCTACCGCATATGGGGAAGGAGAAAGGGAAGAGGGGAGGAGGAGAAGGGTAGGCTAAAGAGTAGAGAGGGGATGATGTGGAGGAAGTGGGTCCACTAACATGTGGGTCCCACTATTTTTTGTTTTATTATTTGACTGATATGTGGACCCACATATTTTGCTTTATTTTTTAATTATTAAATTTTGCTTCATGTGCCACGTCAGATGAAGACGGAGTCAAATTAGCCACATAGACGTCACGTCAACTAAAACCGCCATGGGACCTATTTTGCATATGTTTTCACTGTTGAGGGACCTGTTGTATGTGGTGTTCCGATTGAAGGATGAAAATCGGATTCGTTGATAAGTTAAAGGACCTTTAACAAAAAAAAATAGAAGTGGGTTATGAAATACTGGGCCTAAACTAAGAGATATATTATGTATATAGATATCATATTAGATAAAGTCTATGGTATTAATCACATGGTAGAAAGATTCGATAGATTTTGATTAAAAAATATAGGCGCATGTCGCATAGATACTCCATTTCAAACTTACCATACTTAATACTCACTCCATCTACTTTTGATAGTCATATTTCATCTTGTCACACAGACCAAGGATAAGTAATACTACTTATCATCCATTTAAACATGCTACTAGTCATTTCTCGTAAACAAGCGATTCATTAATATTTACATTTCTGGATACTCATGTAGCCAATCTTGTGTTGAAGAATGGAGAGTCATGCATTAAATCCAAGAAAGTCATTAAAATGATAAGTTGTTGAATTAAAATATATCTATCAATTTTTTTTCAGATTTGTAAATATGACTATCAAAAATAGATGGAGGAAATATTTAATTAACCATACGCTAATTTTTTTCAAATTTTACGTGTGGCTCATAAACTTAAGCTGCGATTGGTTGGGCCAGCTGGCGGCTGCTGTTATGCATCTTCTGTACCGCGCTAGCAGCAACTCGGTTCAGTCGTAGTAGTAGAAATAGCCGAGCACAAATGTACTCTTTTCGTGCTAAAATAAGTGAAAACATGAGTGTCCATATCTAACTTTAATCTTTTTCTAAGTCACACGTAAATTACTACTCATATTTTATATTATGATGACAATAAAAATTCTAATTATAATTTTTTTTAAAATAAGACAGATGTTAAAGTTGGACACGGAAACTCGTCCCGTGCTTATTTTGGAACGGTAGTACCGTAGTAGTAGTACTCCATAAGAGCATATGTAGTGTGGCGTCGGTTTGTTCTGACAAAAAAATCGAACGAAATATTGGTTCGATCCCTGCAGTGTGTAATCGATTTTGATGGGGCCCACAAAAAAAAGTCTAAGTCCCACCTTTCCTCTCTCCTTCCTCCCGCGACCAGGCGGAAAAATCCGTGTGCGCCTGTTCTCTCCCTCGTTCCCCTTCCTTTCCCCTCTCCCTCCCCAAACCTTCCAAATTTCCAATCCGGTGATAATCCAGAAATTAACCCATGGAGGAGAGCAAATCAGGTCAACCAGCTATGGATGCAACTAGATCGGATCCTTCGCCGCGCTCGTGTGGCTCGTGCTCGCGCTCATGTGGGCTGTTGCACATGTCGCCGTGCAATCAGTATGCCGCCGCATACGGCGCTGCTAGCCGGCGGCCGTGGATGAAAACCTCGCCGAGGGAAAACGGAGGCCGAGGATATGCGCTTCCAAGGCGAGGATCTACCACACCAAGGGCATCAAGGTGATTATTTTTCTGTAATCTGTATAGTCTTGTTCTTTCTTTCTTTTTTTGACACCCAGTCTTGTTCTTTCTTGCTGTGACTTGATGGCTAAATTTAGTTGACAAATGATTTCATACGAAAAGAAACAACATCCAGTACATAGATTTGTAATAGAACTAGTAGTACACTTGCATTGTGTAAAGAAAAAACAATTTGAAAGGGATACAATACTCAGTACATGAAAAAACAAGACTAGCTAACTAGTGCTCAGGTTGGTTGCCTCCAAATTTGTTCCATATATGCTCAGTCAAGTCGTTTTTTAGTCGATGATGCATGTCTTTATTCCGAATAGCCACACCTATTTCAAGCACCCTATCAAATCCATGAATTGGCCCTTGTCCATATCCATTCAGTGGTACAGGAGAGCTTCCCTGCTCATAGTTAAAGTCAGCTCGGCCCTCATATGAATCCCTCTCATCCTCGACAATCATGTTATGCAAAATAATGCAAGCATACATAATCTCACCAAGAGTTGGTTTTTTCCACATACGTGCTGGGGTACATATAATGGCAAAACGAGATTGCAAAACACCAAATGCACACTCTATATCTTTTCTTGTCGATTCTTGCTTTTGAGCAAATAACTTGTGCTTCTCATATTGAGGCAATTTGAATGTTTTCACAAATGCTGCCCACTCAGGATAGATGCCATCAGCTAGGTAGTAACCCATGTCATACTCATTGCCATTGACTGTAAAATGAACATCCGGTGCTATCCCTTGACGTTGTGCTGTGAACAATGATGATTGGTTCAACACATTGATATCATTGTTGGACCCAGCCACACCAAAAAATGCATGCCATATCCACAAGTCATGTGAGGCAACAGCTTCAAGCATGACAGTGGGCACTCCATGATCCCCACGGGTATATTGTCCCTTCCATGCCACCGGGCAATTTTTCCACTCCCAATGCATGCAGTCGATACTTCCCAACATACCGGGGAAGCCCCGAGCCTCTCCCACATGAAGCAACCTCTGGATGTCTTCTGCAGTGGGCCTCCTTAGGTATTTTGGCCCAAAACAATCAATAATACCTTTGCAGAAATTAACCAAGCTCTCAATGACAGTGGTCTCAGCTATTTGTAAATTTTCATCAAGTATATCAGCAGATGTTCCATATGCTAACATTCGCAAAGCAGCAGTGCATTTGAGTAAAGGAGAAAATCCAACTTTACCAAAAGCATCCTTTCTTTGCTGAAAAACCGGAGACCAATGACTAAGAGTTTGCACAATGTGTAGAAATAGATGCTTTTTCATCCTATACCTCCAACGAAACTGGGTATCGTTGTACATTGGGTTTTCTAAAAAGTAGTAAGCCTTCAACCGATCCTCAGCATCTTGACGCTCCCTTCTTATATACTTTCTCTGCTGGGTTGGTGGACCTCTCTGTTGCTTCTTAATTTGATAACTAATGTCCTCTTCAATCTGAGTCTCAACTGGATCATTGATGTAATCCCAAATCAAGTCGAATGGGATAACATCAAAGTTGCTAACCTCAGAACTATCATGTTGGGAGCTAGGTTGTGTGGATATTTTTGTCGATCTGGTAGTATAGAGTGGATGTGGGCAGCTGGTGGAGTAGAGTGAAAGTTGGGAATGTGGAGATTTGGTGGATGGAAGGGATCTGCACCCTTCTTTTGTAGACAAGCTTCACAACGGCTAGTTTCACAACGGCTAGTTTTATAACGGCTAGTTTTACAACGGCTAGTTTGCTTATAGAATATTTTGCCTCTAACTTTACTAATTTGATTCAATGTTCTTTTTTTTTTTTTGCAGATTCAAGTGTTAGGCCAATATAAAGTGTACAACCTTAGGCTAGAGATTCAAAAACTACACAATAGCACACAAGATTGACTCAAGGTAACATTGGGCTGCATTCTCATTCATCACAACAATTAGATGGGTACAATATACCAATTAGATTGGT